TTGTTAGGCAAAGTGTATTGGTAAGTAAAGCCAGACTCGCGATTGCAAAAATTTTGTTGTAGCAATTAGGCTCTGAGGCTACAGTAGCAGTGCGGGGACTTTATCAATTAGTCTCTGCAGATGCAGTAGGAGTGCAAAGACATTGGTTTTAGGCTCAATAGCTACAGTAGTAGTGTAAGAAGTTTCGTTAAATGGGTTGTGAGCTCTGTGGCTGAAGCATTAGTGCAAGGATCACTTTTGTTTAAATAAGTTTCATTTAGTCATATCATGAAACCAATTCTCTTCGTAGCTATATGAAAATCTTTTGGTGGCCTCCTTTATATACGCACATATAAATCATAGTAAGTTGAGGTTGATAACTTCAATAGTGGGAAGTTCATGATTTCAACAATGAGTGAATCGTGATTTTAGCTTTAATGACTTCAATATTGGGTGAGTTTCAATTTCAACAGTGGGTAGTTCATGATTTTAATAGTAACTAGAACATGACATTGCGGGCGGCTTCGCCGCCCATAATATGCAAAGATAATAGATTTTTTTTTTTTTTTTTTTTTTTTAGAGTGAGGCCTGGCCTCGGTCTATATTAAATAATTTATGTTTTACATTTGTAGAAGAATTACAAAGATAATAGATTTGTTTGTTTTATTCTTACTTTTATTTCGGAAAGAAAATTTTTCTTAAGCTCCGTCTTGAATTTAACGCACCAATTTGGGGCCCCTCCGGGCCAAAGCTGGTGCATTAAATTTAAAGCATTTCTTTCTGTCATTAGATGTTCTCTTGAATTTAATGCACCAATTTGGGCCCCTCCTGGGCCTAGAGTTGGGATCCTTTGAATATCCATCACAGCTATTTAATGAATATTCACGGATTTTAGTCATTCGCGAATAACAATGAATGAATATACACATTTTGCATGAGAACTCACGGATATTCAGGGAATTCGCAGATATTCATAGAAAATTTGCGGATATTCAGAGAATTCGTGGATATTCATAGAGAATTCGCGGATATTCAGATAATCTCACGTGGTTACGTTTCTCATATTTATCAACTATTCGCATAGAATATTCTCAGATATTTACACGAATATTCGCACAGAAATATTCATGCAGAATATTCACACAGATATTTTACACGGATATTTACAAAGAATATTCATACATATACTCATAATATAAATCTTAACTATTCACGGATTTTGTGTAACAGAATATTCACTGCTAATTGAATATTCAATTTATCCGTGAATATTCGTGGATCCTAACTCTAGACAATAGTTATATGATAGTTATGCAGTACGCAAAGCGGAGAAGTCTCCGAAAATCATTATATAGCAAATATAATGATTTAGATTGGAACTACAAAGTTGCTATCTTATATTACATAGCTGATGGACTTAATACAATCCACAAAGCCAACTTAATGCATAAAGGTTTTCATTCCGAAAATATAGTTAACGAAAATATGTATAGTTTTTACATTACTGGCTTTGGATGATGTAAGCCAGTGTCTCAATATTCAAGCATTGAAGGGATTTTTGGTGTAGCTCCTTATATTGCACCAGAAGTATTATATACGGATGGAAAAGTGTACACTCAAAAATCAGATATTTATTCTTTTGGAATTATCATGTCAGAAGTTTTTACTGGATATCATGATATCCCGTATGATGAAAATTTAGTAAGAAAAATTTGCTTAGGTCATAGACCAGAAATTAAATGTGAGGTTCATCAATTACTTTGGGATTTAATAAATAAATGCTTAGACGTTAACCTCAAAACTGACCAACTGCTAAAGAATTGGTCAATGCGCGGAACAATTTGTTGAAGATTTGAAAAGTGAAAACAGAATTATATAAGCAAGTTGAAGAAATTAAAGATTCAGGCAAAAATTCAAATCAAGTCACATTAATACGACTCAACTATCAGACACATAAACAAGCTATTTATACAAGTCGGCTTTTGAATTATCAAAATCTTCCTAAACCAATAAATGCCAATCAAAATGTTGTGTTTAAAATAATACTTATTAACTTGGTTTAGTAGCAAACCCGTTGATCGCCCAAATTTTGACTAATATATTCAAGGCCAGTTAACATTTGCTAGTATCGGTATTGAAGTAATTGATTTTTCAATTGCAATTTGTTCTCATTGAGACGAATTTATGAAATACCCCAAATTTTGAAAACTTTGACCACCGATAGTGAATCAATTTATTTGACTTATCAATACGATTACTATCATTATGTGTATAACGTACAATATTATGTAATCATGTGAAGTTTTTTATTAGAACGTAATGTACTAGGGTGTTCTATATCAGTGTTGGCATTTTAAATGACCAATGACCAAATGACCAAATGAATTGGTCATTGGTCATTTGGTCATTTATATTTGAAATGACTAAATGACCCGACATAAAAAATTATATGCACTTTGCCTGTATCTTATTGGCTAGTGCATGGTCAGTCGTTTAATCACGTGATATCAGCGATTTTAATATATCAAATGACCAAATAACAATGATCTGAGGTCATTTAGAGGTAGTGTTCCGAGTTGGTAAATATTTTACCAATCGATTAGTTGCCAACTATAATCGATTGTTCACATCACGTGGCATCGTCAGATGATTAGCCAATCAAACCAAAGGGATTAATACGGATCTGCCCGACTAGACGGAATTTCTCGGAATTGTACTAGTTGAATGATTAATCGATTAGTTGTTTAAAATTTTTTTCAAATTGACTAGTTGGAAAGTTGGCAACTAGTTGGTTTTTCAACTTACGATTGGAACACTATTTAGAGGTCATTTGGTCATTATTTATCGGGTTCATTTTAACATGCTCTTTAAAGTAACAACGCCTTTTTTAAAATTTATTTTTATTGTTTTGAGCATAACGGAGGACAATTTCAATGCAAAATTGTCGTTTTTGATGTTTTTTAATAAAAACATCAAACCCGTAACTTTGAATTTTTTTTGTATTGTATACAGTCGACCTCCATATAGTCACCTCCCATATAATCACACCATATGTAATCACATTTATATTTAGGCAAAACTATGACTAAATTTATAAGAAAAATACCTCCATATAAGCACAACCCCATATAAGCATATTTTTAAAAAACTTTACTATGTGCCCAACTGTGTGATTGTATGGGAGGACGACTGTATTACAGTATTATGTAATGGTGATCGACAAAAAATTCAAAGTTACGGGTTTGATGTTTTTTATTAAAAAAAACATCGAAGACGAAATTGAGTTCTCCGCTATGCTCAAAACAATAAAAATAAATTTTTAAAAAGGCGTTGTTACTTTAAAGAACATGCTAAAATGAACCCGATAAATGTAAATTTATTTGTATGGGTTTGCTGGTTCAAGAGTTATTGCAGTTTGAATTTTGTATGTTTTTACTATTACACTATCGTTGATCTATAAAAAAATCATCGATTAGTGATCATTATTACCGTATGTTACCGAATAGAAGCAACCAAAATGCTGCAAAAAAAATTGAGAATTTTTTCGAGCCAAAGTGAAGGGGTTGCTTCCAATTTTATTAATAGAACATAACAACCTTAGTCAAATTTTTGGCTCCAAAATCTGGGGAGTTGTTTTTATTCGGTGGTTGCTTCTAATCGGTAACATACGCACTATGTTTGTAATTAGACCGATATAGAACACCCTAGTAATGTACGTACTATGTATCTGGTATGTACAGTACGTACACAAATTTTGATCGTATAATGAGAAACGTCAAAGTGAATAACCAAATGAGTTAGACGCGTGATCAATCAAGATCAGGGGTCCAAAAAACTTTTTCGGGTTTAACATTGATTTGTTAATATGTGATTGGTAACCAAAATTTAAAATTGGGACCAATACTCAGATTTGGTGACCAAGTATATTAAAATAAATTATTACCGTATACTGTAAACTCGAAATAACGCCCGTGGGAATTATTTGGAAAATCAGGACCTCAAAAATAGCATATATAGTTTCGAATTACTGAATTAACGCCCTGAATTAACGCGCATTCCTCTATAAAAAATAAAAAGTAAAGTGTATCGGAACTGGATTTAGTACTAAGTAAACCTGCTTTCGCGCTCTAACAAAAGTTGTTCTTCAGAGATAATTATAACGGTGGTAAGGAGCAATTTTCATGTTGTTTATTTAATCTTTATTTCGAAATAACGCACACTGACGCATTCGAAATAATGCGCAGGTGGGCATTATTTCGAGTTTATACGGTAGATTGGGCATCTTATTAATTATTGTGCCTGCTTATGTTTATACTGAAATCTGGTATTCATTTTCAAATCTATAATACTTACTAAAATCACATATACTCTTATTAATAACATCTATGAAAAAAAAACCACAAAAAAGACCAAAAAATTTTATAATTTCATAATAAGCTGCCATTATCATTAATCAATATCAATAGCCGGCAAATTATTGACTGGAGTTTATGGTTTGAACTGATTACTATCACCCTAGCAGCTATTAACCAGTTTAGAAATTTTCTAATACAACCGGTTATATATAACATAAAACTACTATTAGAGCATTATTATGTTTTCGGAACTTAATATTAAAAATCAATGCGAAATACTTTCTGAGTGTCGTTGCCATATATACGACCAGCTAATGAAATACATGAGATCTAAAATTTTAGCTACGATTTTATGACAATTAGATAACCAAACGTAATCACGCTAAAACCAAGAACGCGATACACAAAATCTAGTAATAACGCACGAGGGTTTGTTTAACATGCTATCAAATTTTTTAAATAAACTATACATTCCGTTTCAATACTGTATTGTATTCAACTAATTGCCCAAAAACTTTAAGTTTTGGATCTTTTAGAAAATAGCTAAATTTAACTACATTTTTTGTTAAATTTTTAATAGAAACCATTCAATTCAATTAACTCATTAAATAATACCATCATATACTCATTTTAATTTCATCAAATTTATTAATCAAATATAGTTAATCACATAGATCTTCTAATCTTTTCTGTATTTCTTACTTTCACAGTCAAATACAGTCTTACAGGTCTTTTGAATGCTGCAAACATTGCTTTACATGCTCTTCTCGTAACAGCCTTTATTACTGATCCCTGTTTACCTACAACAATTCTCTTTCATCAACCCGAAAATTTTAAACAGTTTTAATGGAAATATAATTTATTTGATTAAAATTAACAAAATAACAATATTTAATAAAATGAGAATATTAATTCACCTCTTGTGATTCACGCTCCACATAAATAATCTGTTCTATTCGTAATGAACCGTCTTCTAATTCAGTCCATCCTACATTCTCCTAAAAATTATATAAATATACATGACTCATATTAATTTTTAGAAATAAAAATTAGGATTATTTATTACAAAAATGAGAAATACCTGCTTAATGATATAAGGCAGATAACTACGTAGCGAAGCTAGAAGCTCTGCCCGTACAAAATCCTCGACTCTCTTTAAATCTGCCATTTCTGATTTTATTTCAGATGGATATACCCATTCTTGAGGGTATGCATAAGAAATTAATTGTTCCTTTTTGAATATTAATATTTGCATAAGCCGATCAAAATAGTATGATCTTTAGAATTTAAACATTTAAATTTATTAATCTCAAAAGATTTAAATAAAATTCACCTTTAATACATCTAATCCTTGCTTTCGTAATGCAGATATATTTATCGTGTTCTTCAAATAGTGGCATTTTTCTTTGAATTTTAAATAAACATTTTGAAGCAGCTGATCATCATTTTCTAACAAATCGATCTTAATTCAAAAAAAAAAAACAATAGTCTGTATAAACCCATGATTATATCTTACATAAAACTAAAAATTAATAATTAAATCATCATACTTTATTTAGCACCAAAGTAACAGGTAATTCATAATCGTTTAATCTATCAAATAAAGAGCTTTCATTATAAGTGCTTTGATGGGCTGCCCTGTGAGCATCAACTACTACTAGGACTTGAAAAATAAATGAAGAGATAGGAAAAACATCAATTAGCCGTTTCAAATCCAAAAAAATTCTTATCATAATTTACCTTCCTACCATGATCAACGTCAACCAATGATTGCCATGATGCGTTGATTAAACCACGATTCAAACGTATGCGCTTGTTACCCATAACAGTTCCTGGAGTATCTAAAAACAACTGATGAATGAGTTGTTAAGGTGTAGTTAATATATTAATGAACAACTAAAGTGAATTATAATAATTACTATTTGCGTATTTCCTTCAGACAGTACCGCTAAAATTCTTTCTCGTGTTGTATGAGCTTTATCAGAAACTACTGATACCTTTGATGTAAGAAAAGAAATCCCCATGGACATAATCCTGACAAGGCCACAATCCCGATAAACTAGCACTAGCAGTATTAATTATAATTCCGGCTGATTGTCGGGATTATTGCCGTGTCGGGATTGTTCTCATCGGATTTCGTAAAAAGTCGATTATTAACGTTTTAAACTTAAATACTTTGAATAGAATAGTAAATTTAGCAGAATTACCACTTCTCCAAGCAAAGCATTTAGCAAAGTTGACTTTCCAGCATTAGGCGTTCCTAAAACTGCAACTTTCAATAATCGCGGATCCTCTGGTTGTGTAAATTTACTAGGAATCTTTGGGAGCGTAGTCTCTATCCCTAGATGAAAATTTTAACCATCAATAACAAAATGTAAATTTATTGTTGTTGAAATAATAATTTTTTTTCAAATTACCCGCAGGTTGTATCAAAAGCGGCAATGGCGGTCCGATTTTTCTCACATTATTAATCTCACTAGAAATATCATTTTGTTTGCCAATTGATGATACCTCATTATCGGTTATTAGTTCATCGACTGGATTATCGGGTATTAGTTCATCAACTGGTGGTAATAATCTAGCAAGCTTTTTTGCACGAGACATTATTGAATAATATCTATTGCAATGTGTTAATGAGCTATCTAGGAGAGATGTTATAATTTAAAAAATCTGATCGAAAGTTGGTATACACAAATACCAATAATAAGGAAAGCCGAATTTCTTACTAAACTTTACATGGAACATTAATTGTAAAGAATTACCCTGTATTAAAGGATTACGAAATAAGTTCATTGTCTTCAGATTGTTTTTAAAGTAAAGTTTATAACGCATTGTTAACTACAGCATGATGGAAATTTATTATTTTCTGATCAAAAATTTTGATTGGCCAAATTAAAGATTAACGGTGCATGATCGAAGTTCTATTTGATTGGCCGCAAATATGCAGTCTGCAGATCCTAATTTATTGGATTTTTATTGGTCGGTTAAATTATAAGAGCATATATAATTTTTTTCGCTTATTAGGTTTCGTGCTGTGAGCTGTAAGGGTCTTATTGTGGACTTAAAAGTCCGTGGTCAAAGTTTTGTTTGGCTCTATATCTATTGTCCAATCTTTATTAAAACTTCGCTGTGATTAAACAAATAATACAGTACCAGGTACGTACGTACTAGGAAATCAAATCTGATGAAGGTTACACTGACTGCAGATTATCACGGGACCCTCCAATTCTCAATTTTTATTGGTTGTAACTGCTTCGGACTATGTTTTAAATTATTAAAAATTAAATATATATATTTTACCGGATCAAATCTATTCAACTAATAATCAACAAATTTATAGTCTATACAGATTTTGCCGGTTCTTTATTAAATAAAAAAAAAATTTTCCTATAGTTTAAAATTATAATTAACATATTCGCATTTTATGCTCTTACAAAATGTTTGACTTAAAAATAAACTATATAAACCTTAGTTACAAAAATAATTTATATAAAACTTAGATTAATTAATGTTTGATTTAATAATTTGCCAATGTTGACTTAAAAATGTTTGAATTAAAAATAACAAAATATAAAAACTTAACTATAAAATAAATAATTTAATTTAATTTATATCAAAATTGTGATATAGAGAATTTTTTCAAATTGAAGGTACTATCCCTTCTAATACGTCGTTAGAATCTAAATTTTGCTCGTTATGATTTGTTTGAGAAAAATAACTAGTCCCTCTATTAAATACGTCTTCATACTATTGGTCAGTTGAAGTTATTGGAAGCGTTGTAGGCTCTGGTGAACATGGTGTCAATATCGTAATAACTTCATCTGCAATATTTTGGAATTGCTCTTTGATTTTACCTTGTTCCTTGTCAGGAACTGTGAACCACAAAAGTTCACCATATCGAGTAACAATAGAATCATCAAAGTCACCAAGACTTTTGGCCTTGGATTCGGCAACAAGCCGATATAAATTTCTACAGTAGGTTATATGCTTTGATCTTTAAAGATTTGTGCTAGATCATGAGAATCAGAATCAGGCTTTTGAGGAAAAATTGAAGGTCCCCTTTCGGTTAGGAGAAAGATTCCACGATTAAACTCTTCAGGTGTCATTCGCAAAATAAGATCAAAAGGGAACAATTGAGAAAACTTTATCGAGAACAGAGGCAAAATTTAAAGGTATAAATAGAGAATCGGCATAATCTAAATATAACAATTGCAATTATGTTGATTTATCGACTTGACTTAAAAAAAAAGTATCAAATTTGCAGTTAAGAGGCACAAATTAAGTTTACGTAATTTGAAAATAAAAAAAGAAAATTACTTTTTTTATTTTTACGAGTTATTAAACGCGTAAAAATTACGTGAAAAATCTATTGTATGATGGAACAAATCAAAATATTTGTCTTCCATACAATGATAACAAAGATATTGTTATTTCTGTATTTGCAGAAACAGTTCTCAATGATAGCAAAATGTATCTAATAATATTTAAAGTCTTTCGAAGTCTACTAAAATAGGAAACTTACTAAAATAAATGTTCATTTGCAAAAGAACGGGTGTTAACATTTCTACTGGACTATTTACAATTTTAATAACGAACATATCTTAAAATATAATACATGCTATATAATAAAGCCTTAATATAATGTTACAATATTCGGCTTTGGAGGCTTTAGATATTTTCTGTATTACTAGACAACATAAATATTATGAACTAAACAACTTATCGCGGTGTGTTTCGTGTAACATTGATACATTTTTGTGATAAATTTTTCACCGTAGCTATCGCTATATTGAGTTCGGTTAAAAAAATTATACATATTTTAACTGGAAACAAAGCATTCAAATTCCAATTGGTGCAAAAACACAAATTATTTTAAAATAAGAAATATGGTTATTTTTTTCTCGGATTGAAGGTGTTTATAAAAGTTAACATAATATTGAAATTGCAATTTAGATAATATTTATAATAAAAAATTCAAATTTTTTTAATTAATGAAATTTTTAATGCATTAGTAAATATACGTGGAGTAAGCTTATAACGATGTAAATATCGATTTGTTTAGTAAAGTTGCGCCAATATTCTAAATTTTTATGGTCATAAGACTTAATCTTTTGGCAAGATTGTCTTGGGACTCCGTTGGCATTCATTTATTTATTTACTTACTAAGTTTTGCCTAAATTGGCTTTCCAAATAGGTCCTTTTATATTAAAGGGTTCTGTTACATTCAAGAGTTTGGTGGGTTGTTGACTATTTATTTGACCGTAATATTTTCTATGCTTCCGGTTACAATCTTTTCATTACAAGATATTATAGATTTGGCGTATCTAAGGTTTTTGATCTTTAGCATTTCGGCACACCAAAATACTTTCGGTAGATACCTTTAATGAAAACAATGACCACAACAATTCGGTATTTCGAAAAGCAACCAAACGGAGTAAACGGGCGGATTTTTAACAATAATCACGAGTTGGTCACTTATAGCATTTTGCACGACCTCCTACTTGCCACTTAGTAAATAATCAAGATAAACATAGTGACACTTCATAAAATAATGATTGACATATTTTGTAATCGAATATGTCCTCTTCTTATAATAAATGATACACTATGTTAGAAGCTTGAAAAAAAGAGTAAAATATGTACTTAGATGTATTTAGAGAAAAAATGTAGAGGAAAATATATGCGTACATTACAGAAACCTAGATTGCTTAATGCTCAATAATTGCATAGTTACTATTCAATTTAATAGTAACTATGTAGTTCCAGTGCAATGTATAGTATTTATGGAGAGAAAAACGTATAAAGCTCTTTTGAGCTGAGATCGAGATTTGGTCATGTTTTGTATTAGAGAAATTTATATAATGCACGCATAATAGAGTGTACGCTCATATTTTACTGCATAACACATGAATAAATTGATGCTCAAATTGCCTTTCATCACCATATAATCGGAGATGTTCATCCATGGAATGACGTTAGTGTCAATAAAATAGGATTCTAGCGTCACAAAGCCAAAAGATTTCGTTATTAGTGTTAGGGGTTGAGCGGATTTTTGTCTTTATTATGTTACACCTGATCTAAGATGATAACCCAAAATAGGAAAAAACCTTAATAGCACGTGAGCATCAAAACATTAGAATTACTGAATTAAGAGATCAAAATCTTGTGAGGACCTTTTTATTAGAACATAAAAGGTAGTTTCTTGGATCTTATGATCTATATAAGAAAATTCCTTCTCGAGCTTGTATCACCTGCTGGTAAAACTAGCGGGATTTAGGATGGTTGGGATTGATATTTGGGCAATTTTACTATGTTGGGATTGAGGATTTATCGATATAGTTTGGGCGGCATATATATGTCGTACTACGAAGGTCACTGTAAGCATAATTAGTATACCACTGGAACTTTTATTGGTAGAAAATTCCACTGATTCAAACTTCATTGGAGGCAAGATTCGAAGCACTGATCTGCATAGTCAATATTTAACCTACCAGCTATGTACTTATGTACGTACGTAAGTACATAGTACTGTACAAAAATGCGATTTAGATTAAATGTTAATGTAGACATTTAATATATAGTAAATGTCGCAGATCATAATGAAATCGGATTAAAATGAAATGAAGGGTTTCTATTTGACCTCCTAAAACCCACTTATACTTGTTTATTATAAAACTTGCTTTTAAACCCTAATCCTAAACCTAAAAAAATGCTAAAAAAATGTAACCCAAAAATTTGTATTTTACGGTGGCTTGTCTATTTTACACTATCACTCATTTCATTTTAATCCGATTTCATTTTAACCTGCCACAGTAAATAAACAATTCAATCGAGTGAATGTAACAATAAGCTTACCGATATTAGTTTACATGGCGCAGTTATCATCTGTTTCTCAAATTGTCCAGTCATCTACGCGATATAAAGTGACATATAGTTATGAATTAACGGTAACACATAAATCAAGAATATTAAACAGAATGCAGCATAAATGCGACTTTACACATGCGAACCCTTCGCTTGATCCTTATAAAATGAATCTAAATGCTTTGATAATCAACTAATTTCTATGGACTAACCTTGAATCATCAAAGACGGCCCCAAAAGTTCGGTTATGTAAGATGAGCTAGTGCCATTTATTGGCTCTCTTCTAACCGCATATTGTGTAGATCATTTTTTTAGTGATTGTAATTCAATACCGGTACGCGAATCCACCAGGGCGACCACGAATTTTTCGGGTCACGTGATGAACGACAACAAATTTATCCCGTAATTAAGTGTAACGTAACACGATCAGGAAAGTCCAAACAAAACATCATTTATCTCAAGAACTTACATAAGAATTCGTCTTTTATGCTTTAATTAAACAATAACCCTAACTTCACCAATTTTAAGATGTTTTGTTGTTTTCACGTGACCCGAAACGCCTTGGTGGATTCCCGATACGTAGAATACGTACTGTATATACAGTAGCTGTGCATCACCGAACTTTTGAGGGCCACCCTAGGTGATTCATTAACCTTAGTAATGCTTTAAACTGATAAAAAATATCAATGCACAAATGTGAAAAAAGTTGAGATATTTACATAAATGCTAATATAATGACCCAGAATAAGGCTATAAGAATAAAAGATGCATATATTGTATAGTTGTATATAATCGGTACTGCACGTATAAGCTTAATTTCAATTCACTTATACCATATTTGGGTATTTCTAAAGCAAGGTAATTTTTAAATTGATTGCTAATCGATTTGTAAATTGAAAGTCACGTGCCGCGTATAAAATACTACAAGGCTTTAGACGACCCTCATTTGTATTGACCAAAACTTATCGTTATTTAATAGAACAGATCCAAACAAAGTTATGAGGCACGAAATGCCGAATAACTGAGGTATTTGCAGAATGCGATTTGATTGGTCGATTTTAAGCACCGAAGGTGCGGCCAGGCAGATCACATGCGCAAATACCAGTAAGGTACGTACAATTCGCATTTTACAAGTGTTTCGAATGCTGGCAAGGTGCGAAGCGCCTCGCCAAGTAGGGTCCAAAATGGGTCGGGCTAAACCTGGAAATTTGCGGGCCGGGTTTGGGAACAGTTCGGGCTTACATTTTTGAGCCCATTATTATTTGGACCAGGTTCGGACCAGGCCCGTTAAAATACCGGGCCGGGTTTGGGCCTTGTAAAAAAAGCCCATACAGGCCCAATAATACCCGATAACCCAGTAACAAAATTTTTCGGCCAATTTGTAATTTTGGTATGATCGATATACATACTAATACTATGTAATACTTGTTCTACAGATAATTTTATCATTATAATGTCGAACACATTCACAACATAAAAAAGTGCTGATATAAATTAGACTTTAATAATAAACATATAACACAAATAGGTGCTAATACCAGGAATGGAGTGATGAATATCACGGTGTGTTTGTTTCTTCACAAAATCTTGCAATGTGTAAGGACGTGGATGCAGATTTTTTTTACATGCAACTTCGTCACTGGATTTGTGTATTTAATTGCATCTAAATTTGGGCATATGCATAATAATCTCATGTGCGAATGTCTAATTCTTTCTAGTCCATTATCAGGGGTTTTTTTTTAAAAGTGAAAATTGTAATGAAGAGCCTGTTAACAAAGTGACAAAGAACCCATTTTGATAATCAGTGTATCTAAAAGTCATTGTTAAGTAATGAGAAGCTATTTTTCTTTTATTATCGCTTATTAGGCAGCTAATATAATAATTTGCACTTGTTTTAATAGATTAAATGGTAATGGTAAGCAATGTCAAGCTTCGTAGCTGAAGTAGTAATGAAGGACCTTGCTTAGTGGTAGTTAGGCTTCACGAATACAAATACCTTTGTAAGATGGGTTTTGGACTTCGCAGTTGCAACAGCAGTACAAGAACCCTTTGTTGAACTTCACAGCATTTTTATTATTTCATGAATGGCTACATAATCATTTCTCTTTGAAGCTACATGGATCTCTCCTCGATGACCTGTTTCTATATGCTTAGATATTGTAGTTTGGTTAGAGATTATAATTGGAATTTTTTTTATAGGTTAGTATTTTCAATATGTTAAAAGTGGGTTGATAGTCAGTTAGTTCGAATAGTGCTGTTTTTTAGAGGTGTAATGTTTTAGTTATATTGTTTACTTTCTAAATGGAATGAAAAATAATAACAAACATGCATGTTAGCTACAATGCTTTAAGACTACAGATACAAGTTACTGACTTCTCTATGGTGCCTGAGTCGAAGAAGTGTAGTTTTTCTTTATGGTTTTTACTTAGATATATTAATTAGATAAATTTAGAGTAGAGCTACTTTATGTAGTAAATATGTGATTTTTACAAGCCTAGCACAAACTTATAATAGTAACCATCTGTCATGGGTGTAATTTTCACATTTAGATTTTTCTTTTTAGTACTCACTTTTCTCTTAGTTTTCTTGTTTGTATTCTTTTTTATTATTTTTCTCTATATCTCTGTATTTTTTTTAGTTAGTTTTTTTTCTTTTGCTTTCTTACAAGAAGATATTATCAAAATAATAATACCCTATTGTAGAGCAGTAATCAGACATGATTATATCAGTAGAGTCAGTTTTTGTATCAGAATTGATTTTAACTGTATAGTTAGTCATATGTAGACACTTGGTTAATTTTAGTTAGGTTGAAGCAGCCACATGATATCAGAGTGAATAGTTTTATTCATAAAAGTGTATTTAGCAAAAATCTAAAAAATAAATAAAGTTATTGGTGCAATTATTTAAATAGAAACAAAATATATTTTTGACTAATAAAAATAAAAAACTACAAATTATATAATATATTTTTAACTAATAAAATATAGAATTATAAGTTATGCCATGCAAAATTAATTAATTGGTTTTTATAACCTGGCTGGGTCAAAATTTGAAATCTTGTAAAAAAATTTTTTTATATGCTTTAATAACCGGGTAGGCTTTTTAAAAAAATTTTCAAAAAATTTTATAAAATTTTTATATCAGATATATGAAATTTAAAAAAAAAAAAAAGCTGGCCGGCCGGGTCTGTTTAAAAGTTTCATGTTATGAAAACCAAGATATTAAATTTGTGCGTCCTTATTTAAAAATAATATTTTTATTACAATAAAACAAATTTAATTTTTTATTAAATAACCTATCTTTATATTTTTAATAAAATTATAAAAAATATTCTTATAATTTTAATAGTAGTAAAATATTAAATTTGATCTAGTATATTAAAAGGTATTTATATTTTATATTTCATGACTATAAAATTTTTTTATAAAAAAATTTTATATTTTTAATATACTAAACCAATTTAATAATTTTATTACTATTAAAATTGTAAAAATACTTTTATAATTTTTATTAGAAGTACAAAGATAGGTTACTTAGTAAAAACTAAGTTTAAATTATATAAATAATTATTTTTATATATTATATAAATATTTCATGAATCTAAGTTTAATAACATGTCGCGAAACTGAATTAAAATGTTTATTGCAAATTCAACAGTATACTTATTGCAAATTCAACAGTATACTTATTGCAAAATAAACAACATATGATCCTTCGTGAAACCTAAATTAGATAGTTATTATGAAACCAAGTTAATTTATTATAAAATTATAATGTGCGACTTTAGAGGGCGTTGACTAATTTTTTGAAAGTTCGTGAGTAGTAGAATTTCATCTGAGGTATAGCCAAATATAATTTTAATATATCAAACTACTAAAACTAGTTCAGCTTATTTAGTAAAATCTAACCGGTTTAACATCCCTACCAATACTCTGTCCGGGCATGATAGACATTTTTCCGGGTATTTTAACAGCCAATAAAACTAACTTCTGCTATGCATGATGGAAATTTTTGTTTTCTGATCAAAAACTGACATTAACGGTGCATGACCTAAGATCGGCTACAGATATGCAGCCTGCAGATCCTAATTTATTAGATTTTGATTGGTCGGCTAAATTATATGAACATATACTGTATTAATTTTTTCACTTATTAGTTTTCGTGCTGTAAGCTGTAAGGATCTTATTGTGAACTTAAAAAGTCCGTGGTCAAAGTTTTGTTTGGATCTATATCTATTGTCCGAGAACTTCGCTGTGATTAAACAAATAATATTATAATTCAAATATAAATTATAAAAATATATACTTTTCATAAAAATTTTACAAAGTTTTTTTATTAAAATTTGTTTCTTAAAGCTATTATTTTTTTAATATTATTTATAGAATAAATTAAATATTCTTTTATACTAGTAGTAGTCGAGACCAACAAACATTTGGCAATGACTAATTTGACCGGTTAACCGAATTAAAATTATTCAACTAATAATCAACAAATTTATAGTCTATACAGATTTTGTCGGCTCTTTATTAAATAGTTTAAAAAATTTTTTTTCTTAGTTTAAATTATAATTAACATATTAATTTCGCATTTTATGCGCTTACAAATGTTTGACTTAATAATTTGCCAATGTTTACTTAAAAATGTTTGACTTAAAATAACCCAATATAAAAGCTTAACCATAAAATTAAATAATTTAATTTAATTTATATTAAAATTGCAATATAGAAGGCGTTATCCCTTCTAATACATCGTTAGAATCTAAACTTTGCTCGTTATGACTTGTTTGAGAAAAATAACTAGTCCCTCCATTAAATACGTCTTCATACTGTTGGTCAGTTGAAGTTACTGGAAGCGTTGTAGGCTCTGGTGAACATGGTGTCAATATCTTAATAACTTCATCTGCAATATTTTGGTATTGCTCTTTGATTTTACCTTGCTCCTTGTCAGGAATTGTGAACCACAAAAGTTCGCCATATCGGGTAACAATAGAATCATCAAAGTCACCAAGACTTTTTTTAACCTTGGATTTTGTAACAAACCAATATACATTTTCTACAGTAGGCTGTATACTTTTATCTTTAAAGATTTGTGCTAGGTCATGAGAATCAGAATCAGATTCTTGAGGAAAAATTGAAGGTCCCCTTTCGGTTAGGAGAAAGATTCCACTATTAAACTCTTCAGGTGTCATTCACAAAAAAGATCAAAAGAGAATAATTGAGAAAACTCTATCTAGAACAGAGGTAAATTTTAAAGGTATAAATAGAGAATCAGAAATAATATAAATATAAAATTCGCAATTATCGACTTGATTTACAAAAAAAAGATTAATCGTTTGTAGTTAAAAGGCGCTAATTAAGTTTACGTAATTTGAAAATAAAAAAAGAGACAGTTCTCAATGATAGTAATAATAAAGATTGTGGCAGATTAAAATGAAATCAGATTAAAATGAAATGAGGGATAGTGTAAAATAGACAAGCCACCGAAAAATAC